CGACTCTCGGCCGGCCCCATGTGGGCTCCTGCACTCGGGGCCGTGGCCCTGGACGGTGGGGCTTTGGCTTTCCCTTGTGGGGCTGGGGAAGCCCGCCGGCTGTCGGGCGTGCTGGAAGCCTGTCCCAGAACCGGGCGGTCAGAGAGTGGCAGGACACCAGAGCAGGGGGAGGGCAGTGCTCTCTTCCGGCTGGGCAGGTCCTGGGGGGCGTGGGGCGTAAGTGGGCTGCGGTCGGGTGTGGGTATGGGAAGGGGTATTTGGCAAAAATAGCCTAGTTAATTTTGTTTACCAAATGCGTGCTTACCAGGCGCAGACCCTCAAGGGAACCGCTCCTTGGCTTCCATCCAGATAAATCCCCTGAGAATTAGGTGCGTCCAGGGCGCCCCACGGCCATTCCTGACCTCTCGGTGCCACCTACCCGAAGCCTTCCAATGTGCTCCCACGGATCGGTGGGCAGCGCCCCGGGAACGCCCTGTAGCTTGTAAAACATTTTCTTGGGGAGCTTCTTCAGTTCTGAGAGGCCCTCCGAGGTCCCGGCCCTCTGAAGCAGGGCAGGGCAGGGGGCTAGATCCCAGGAAGGTCCCCTCCCCGAAGCCTTAGGTAAACTTGGCTGGGGTTCAGTGGGCCGAACTCTGGGCCCCGTGTGCTCACTTTGAAGCATGAGGTTGTAACGGAGTTCTGGGCAGCTGTGCTCGAAGCTTCTAGACCTGTCTGGAGCCCCTTGGGCTGCTGACAGAGTCTCATAGTACCGGCAGGGAACCTGAGGCCCCAGGGGGGCTGGGGCTTGGCCTTGACCTTCGTAGGCCCACTGAGTGTGGTTTCTTCTGCTCTGTGGTTGGGCAGGCCGCCTCCAGCTGGGGCTGACAACGGCCCACATGGGCAGGGCTTCGGGGACGCTCACATCAAGGGACTGGGAGCTTGGACTGGGCTCAGCCAGGAGCTGCACCCGCTTCAGAGTCTGAGCTCCTGGGACTCCTCCCCATCAGAGAGGCCGGGCTGCCTGGAGGCTCGTGGGGGTGGGCCCGGTGGGGTTGCCCTTAGGATGCCCGTTACAGGCTCCAACGTAAGAGACTAGACAGCCCCCCTCCATGCCTCAGGTCCCCCCTACCCCCTGAGTTAACGAGGGGTGTTCGTTAATGAGGCAGCCTTCGGGCCTCCACAGACCCTTCTTTCTCCCTCCTGTGGGGTCTCGACCTAAGCACACCTCCGCTTGGGGGAAACCCTTCCTTTCGAACTGTGAGGTGGCCTGAGGTCTGAACTCTGATCTCAATTCCTTTGTTTCTGTTTTTTACTTAAAAAAAAAAAAAAAGATTTTATTTATTTATTTGACAAAGCGAGATCACAAGTAGGCAGAGAGGCAGGCAGAGAGAGAGGAGGAAGCAGGCTCCCCGCCAAGCAGAGAGCCCGATGCGGGGCTCGATCCCAGGACCCTGGGATCATGACCTGAGCCAAAGGCAGAGGCTTTAACCCACTGAGCCACGCAGGCGCCCCTGACCTCATTTCTTTGAAACAGGGTTGAGGGGCTCCTGGCTGATGTGCATTTTTAAAATTTAAAAAAAATTTTTTTAAAAGATTTTATTTGGCTTGCCTGGGTGGCTCAGTGGGTTAAAGCCTCTGCCTTCAGCTCGGGTCATGATCCCAGGGTCCTGGGATCGAGCCCCGCATGGGGCTCTCTGCTTGGCGGGGAGCCTGCTTCCCCCTCTCTCTGCCTGCCTCTCTGCCTACTTGTGATTTCTGTCTGTCAAATAAATAAATAAAATCTTTAAAAAAAAAGTTACATTAAAAAAAAAAGATTTTATTTGTTTATTTAATAGAGAGCGCACAAGCAGGGGGAGGGGCAGAGGGAGAAGAGGCTCCCCGCCGAGGAGGAAGCCCAATGTGAGGCTCCCTCCCAGGACCACGAACGACCTGAGACGAAGGCGGCCGCCTCACCAACGGAGCCCCCTGGGTGCCCCGGATGTGCGTAGTGTTCGAAGCCCCTCTCCCAGGCAAGGATAGGGAGAATCCCACCCATTCATCTGTGACCAGCCCCGGGGGGGGCGTATTCCCATGAGGTGGGCTGGAGGCCCCCTTGAGATTCAGCAGTGCAGCCCCTCCGTGCACGTGCCCAGTAAGTGCCCCTCCAGCTTGTGGCCCAACCGGGCCTCTGTCTGCTGGCAGCCAGGACTTCGGAGGGGAGGGCACTGCCTCTGTTCACTCAGGCAGCGTTGGGCCAGAGTGGGTCTCCCGTTGCTGCCTTTGGGCTGGTTGTGAGGCGGGGTGGGCTGGGAGGGCAGCCCTCCGTCTCTGACCAGGGGTGGCTGTGAGTTCTGCCCCGGGCTCCCCACCCCATGTCTGGGAGTTTCCAGCTGTGACGGAGGCACGAGCTGACCTTGCCCTGGCGCCCCAGCTCGGTGATGGTGAGCGCTGACTTTGCCTCCCTATCTCTGACTCACAGTCCTGGTGTGTCCTTGGTGGTCTGAAGCATCACTTCCTTTCCTGTAACTACTGCCCAGGCTGAGATTCCAGGTTAAATGCCAGGCAACAAGCCTACCACGGTCCCTTCCTCCCTCAGGCCCCAGGTAGCCCCCGGCCTGGCCACAGGCCCTGCACAGCTCCCTCTCCTGACGGCTGGCGGCCAGCGGCGGGTTTCTGTTCCCTGTGCTCTCTCGCTCAGTGATGTTACTTGGAGTGTGCTCGGGCTGCGGGGGCGCCTCACCATGGCCTGGGTGCCTTAAGACCGCAGACTCATCCTCTGACGGCTCTGGAGGGCCAAGGTCCAGAGTTGGTCCCCAGGGCTAACTCCAGCGGTGGCCGGGGGGCCCCTTCCTGTGGCTCCAGGGGAGAAACAGCTGCTACTTTCCAACCACAGGGCATGAGATCTGGCCGGGTTTGCTTTCAGGGTGCTAGAGAGTCATCTGTGATTAGACTTTTTAAAAAGTTGTTTGAATATGGTTGGGACACAACATTACACTAGTTCCAGGCATGCAACTGGGATTAGTGATTAGTGATTTGAAAGGTTCATACGTGGGTCCCTCGGGGGCTCAGTGTGAAGCGTCTGCCTTTGACTCGGGTCGTGATCCCAGGGTCCTGGGACCGAGCCCCGCGCCAGGCTCTCTCTGCCTCCTTCCTCAGCCTCCACCTCCTGCCTGCTGCTCTGAACTGCTGTGCTTCTGCGTGAACTCATGCTCTGTCAAATAAAGTCTTTAGGAAAAAAAAAAAAGTTCATATGTTAGGTTTTGGTTTTTTTTTTATTTTATTTTAAAATTTCAGATAGGAGAGTGCCTGGGTGGCTCAATTGGTTAAGCATCTGCCTTTGACTCAGGCTGTGACCCCGGGGTCCTGGGATCGAGCCCCGCGTCGGGCTCCCTGCTCAGCGGGGGTCTGCTTCTCCTGCTGCCCATTACCTCACTCGTGCTCTCACTCGCTCCCTCTCTCAAATAAGTAAATAAAGTCTTCGAAGGAACATAAATAAAATTTCAGATAGGATTTCCTTTTTTTTTCTTCTTTTAAAGATTTTATTCACGTGAGAGAGAGAACGAGCGGGGTCGGGGCTGGAGGGACAAGGGAGACAGTAAGCAGGCTCCCCGCTGAGAAGGAAGCCCGATGTGGGGCTCGGTCCCGGGACCCCGGGTCAGGGCCTGCGCTGGAGGCAGCCGCTCAGCCGACCCAGCCGCTGGGGCGCCGCTCAGACGGCTCCAGGTGGCGACCTCTAGATTCCGGAGCGCTTGCCCGCACTGTTGCAATACGGCGCGTCATCCCTTTCTGGGGACGTCGGGCTTCATTGGCTCAGCCTTCATTCCGTTTCTGTGCTCCCGTCTGGGCGTGAGCGCAGCCCAGGGGCTTCCTGTGCACAGTGCTGGTTTGCTCGTGCGGGGCTCGAGCACGGGGCCTGGAGCGCAGCCGCTGGCACGGGTGCGGGCTCTTCATGTGTGAACCTCACGTGGTTGGGACACCAGGACGCTCCGTGGGAAGAGCGTGTGACCCCCGATGGTGGGCTCGCGAATTCAAGCTCCCGGTTGGCTGTGGAGGGTACTAAAAAAAACAATAATCGTAAACTTTTAAAAAACATTAAGAGGATGTAAGCTTGTGGTGCCTGGAGGGCTCAGTGGGTTAAGCCTCTGCCTTCGGCTTAGGTCATGGTCTCAGGGTCCTGGGATCGAGCCCCACATCGGGCTCTGTGCTCCGAGGGGAGCCTGCTTCCCCCCTCCCCCTTCACCTGCCTCTCTGCCTACTTGTGATCTCTGTCAAATAAATAAGTAAAATCTTAAAAAAAAAAAAAAAAAGGATGTAAGCTTTGCTGCACCCCACTCGGTGTTCTCAGAATGTGATCTGAACATACAAGGCTTTTTTCTTTTCCCACCACGGGACCGTGGCTTAGATGGCGTTCTCCTGCCTCACCTTTCCCTGAAAAGCATTGTGGGGCTCCCTAGCGGTGAGCGTCCATGTTCTCCTGGCATCTGCAGGGAGCCCTACAGGTGACACTTCCGGGGTGGCCCTCTGCTCCCCCCTCCTCCAGGCCCTGACTCTGGTGAGCTGTGCACGTCCTGCCCCGCGCCGGCTGCGTCTGTGCCCTGCCTGCTGGCCGGCCCTCCGCTGCGGGAGGAAGTACCTGCTACGGCTTCACCCTGGGCTGGGCCCGCGGACTCTCCTCCGCACCCCAGCTCCCGGATGGCACTTGTCCAGTCGGTCTCCTCCCTTGTGCCAGTTCCATGACCTTTGCCGGGAGGTCTGTGGACCAAGCAGCTGTACCTCTGGGGCCCAGTTCTACTTCCTCACTCCGCCTGCCTACTGACGGGGGTGGGGGGGGCACTCTGGAGCCCTTGGCCTGCTGGCAGAGCCTCGCTGGGGGTTTGCTGGAGGCCCAGCCCCCCAGTTGGTCCTGGTTCTGTGCTGGTTCGTGGCCCTTTGCCGTGGCGTCAGGGCTGAGGCACGGACTGAGGCAGTGGCCAGCGTGGGCTCAAGCCGCCGCTGCCCGAGCGGGCCCACTCACTGCTCTTTCCTCCCGCTTCCCATTTCAGGGCTCGGTTATGATCCGTACAACCCCGAGCTGCCCAAGCCCCCCGTGCAGAGGGAGAATGGAGCACTGGGCCGGGGGGACGAGCCCCGCTCGGACATCCTGGAACTGGAGCTGGTCAACCAGGCCATCGAGGCTGTGCGCTCGGAGGTAGAGCTCGAGCAGCGGAGGTACCAAGAGCTCCTGGAGACGGCCCGCGAGCACAGCTCCGCCGAGGCCCCCGCCGTGGTGCCCCGTGGCCCTGCCACTTGCCCCACCGCCGGCCTGGACGAGGACGCCTTCCCACTGTCCTTTGATTATAACCCTGGTGGCCGCCCCAGCCTGTTAGGCCCTGATGCCAGCTACCAGCCCAGTCCTCTGGCCGCTGCCACTGAGGCCGGTAGCAAGTACTCGCTGGTCTCTCCGGGTCGGGGGCAGGGCCGAGGTGGAGGGGGCGGTGGCACCCTGGAGTACGTCCCCAAGGCTGTGAGCCAGCCCCAGCGACACGGCCGCCCCGTGCCCAGCAGCAAGTACGTGCTGGACGACTCCAAGCCGTCCACGGACCTGGAGTATGACCCACTGTCCAACTTCTCCGCCCGGCTGCTCAGCAGGGCCAGCTCCAAGGACGACAGGGCCCCCAAAAGGCCCAGGGGCTCCCGCGGCAGCGAGCCCTACACGCCTGCCCTCAAGAAGCCCTGCGACCCCTTTGCCGGCTGTGATGCCAGGTTTTCAGACTCGGACGACGACGACGCCGCAACTCCGGCCGCTGTGCCTGTCACCACCAGCCCCTCGAGAGCTCAGGCGGGCCCTGAGAGCAAGGCCCCTGGGCTGTCAGGCTCCAGGGAGGGCCAGGACGCCGAGGAGGGCGGCCCGCGGGAGACCAAGGAGATGGCGGTGCAGTATGACGTGGAGGACCTCGGGCAGCCCCCCAAGGACCCTGGGGGGACGCCTGTGGCCAAGCCCAGCTCTCCGGCCAGGGCCTCCCAGGAGCCCAGTGGCTCCAAGCAGGGAAGACCCAAGAAGAAGAAGAGTGGGGCAGCGCCCGACCCCGGCCACAAGGACGGCGTCCAGAAGAAGGACAGGGGCAGAGACGGAGAGCGCGGGAGGCCGGCCGGGAAGCCCTGTGCAGACCGGAAGGGCCCACAGGCTGGCGGCCCCCGGCATAGGACCGAGCCGCCCGAAGGGACCAAGAAAAAGCCATCTTCAGCCACCCCGGTGGCCAGCTCAGGGAAAAGCCGGCCTGACCGTGGGGGTGTCCCCCAGCTGCCAAACAGGACTGGCGGGAAGACCGTGTCAGGCAAGCTGGCCGAGCGGAAGGCCCGCTCCCTGGACGAGGGGGCCCCCCGGGACGCCCCGAAGCTGCAGAAGCGGGCCCTGAGCCACGCAGACCTCTTCGGGGACGAGAGCGAGGATGAGGGCCCTGGACCCGCGGCGCCCCCCGCCGCCCCGCCCCACCTCAGCTCCACCTCCGACTCGGACTCGGACTCGGACTCGGACTCCGACAGCAGCCTGGGCGGCTCGGCCGCTGGGGGCCCGCGCAAGCGCCTCAAGGCCCCCCCACCCACCAGGCCTGCCCCCGCCTCTCCCTCCTCGTGCTCCTCCTCGTCCTCGTCCTCCTCTGGGCCGGGCGGGGGTGTGGACTACTCCGCCCTGGAGAAGGAGGTCGACTTTGACTCGGACCCCATGGAGGAGTGTCTGCGCATCTTCAACGAGTCCACCAGCGTCAAGACGGAGGACAGGGGCCGGCTGGCCCGGCAGGTGAGCCTCACCCCCACACCTGGGGGCCCTGCGGCTGCGGGGCCGCCCCGGTCCACGGGAACAAACTGCTGCCCCCTTCCCCTCCCCCCGCCTTGTCCACTCGGAGCAGGCTTAAGGCCACCCAGCAGGCTCCCGGGCGGTGTTCTGAGATGCACAGAGACCAGGCAGGGTTGGGCTGTATGTCGCCCACCTCTCCCTCCCTCTCCTCCGTCCCCCAAACCTGACCTGACCCCAGCCTTTCTGGGTTGGCTGGCACATGTCCCCATGCCAGCCGCCAGAGGGAGCTCGCTTTCTGCGAAGCTGCAACTCACGGCTTCTGGGAGGGTGGCAAGGTTCCATTAGGGCCGCCCGGTTCTCTCTTGCCCTCCTCTGTTTACAGACCTTTGAGGTGGTGCCCGGTAGATTTCTCTGCCTGGTTCCTGTGTTTCTGAGCTGCTCCTGTGAGTGGGCGAGGGAGGGGAGCAGGAGGCAGTGGTCTGGGCCGGAGACCCTTTTGGCCAAGGCCCGCATTGCCCTTGGGCTGGGGTATGTCTGCAGGAGATGTGCTGGGGAACCTGTTTCCTCCCCTGTGAGCCAGCAGGGCTTGGAGGTGAGGGCTCCACGTTGTATCTCAAGATCTGGGAGCCCCTCCCTTGAGTGCGTCACTGCCTCCCCCCTCCCTCCACCCCCGATCTGGGAGGTCTAGGAGCTGACTTGGTGTTGGGGGGGATGGGGCCCACTGAGTTGGTGTGGGAGGTGGGGCCCGAGGGGTGGAGCTTCACTTGAGGGGCGGGTATGTGTTTCAGACTCCCACGGAAGAGAAGATCGAAGACAAGGGGCATTCGGGGCTGACCACTCTGTTCCCTGGGCAGAAGAGGAGAATTTCTCATCTCTCCAAGCAGGGCAAGGAGGTGAGCATCTGCTTTTGGGTCCTGAGTAGAGGTCGGCAGGAGAGAAGAGGCCTCTGTGTGCAGAAACCAGATCCCCGTGTTCCCCTGCTGGTGGGTGGCACAGGGCAGGGAGGGTGATGTGACGGGTGGCTCTGGAGTGGCCGTCCTCCAGTGGGGTCACACAGCCCAGCCTGGTGCTGGCTGGGGGACGTGCTGTGTGATCCCAGAGAAGTGGCCCAACCTTTCTGAGCCCTGGTTTCCGCGGTGAAGACAGGAACGGCTGTTGGTGGCTAAGGCGAGCTAGCCGGCGGGAGGACAGGCCAGAGGGTGGGGCTCCAGGCGGAGCACCTGGGAGCTTGGGCTGAGTCAGTCCCTGGACCCCTCCCCGGGTGAAGCTGGAGACAGGAGAGGACTGGAGCCAGCGGGATTGGATGGGCGCAGGGACTCCCCCCCTACGAGTGGGTGTGCCTGTTATCAGGGCCAGAGGCACGGCCTGGGCATTCTGAAGGCAGAAGCCAAGAGGGCAGGGCCACGAGGTGATCCGCTCCGGGACAGCTCGGAGACATGAATTTGAGGCCTAACATGCTGAGCTCCTTGGTTCCAGCCTGGGTATCTAAGAGCTCAGAAGAAAACCCCAGGGTAGCCGGCTATACCCAGGCCCCGGAGCCCCCGCCTTCCTGCCCTTGGCCGTACTGTCAGTTTTTTGCCCTGCGTGATCTTGTCTGGGTGCCCCCAGCCTATAGCCGCTCCCTGGGATTTGTCATCACCCAGGCGGAGCCCGTGAGGAGAGGCCCAGCTCCCCCTGCCCGGCCTCCCACCGCCCAGGAGGTATGCTATCGGCGGGCCCAGCAGGCCCAGAGGGACTCCGCCAACTGGCTCCAGGCTACCCAGCAGCCAGCGGAGAAGCCCTCCTCCATCCACATCTCAGCCCCTGGCGAGAAGAGGAGGATAGCGCATGTCCCCAACCCCCGCCTGGCTGCCGGTAAGTCCCAGGGCACAGTGGCTCTGCATGGTGGGAGGGCCCAAGGCTCCGCTTCTGCCACCAGTGGTGGCCTTGAGCAGGGCCCAGCTGGGGCCTCAGTGTGCTTTCCTGTGAGGTGGGGATAAAGGTCTCTCCGACAGTTAGCGGTCAGGCATAATGATGCGCCCAGTGGCCCTGGGCCTTTCCTGGCTTTGGTGCTGGTAGAGGGTCTGAGGGCTGCCTGCCTCCCATCCCTTGTCTATCTCACAGACCCAGAGCCTCCCTCTGAGGCCCCGAGCCAGAGGTCTCCCTGGGATTCTCCCTCTGTCCCTGCCCCTGGTCTTTGTGTCCTTGCCTCCCCCGGGCTCCTCGGGTATCGGAGGCCGGTGGCCTCCTGGGGGCCGGTCTGAGTGTGGGCACTGGGCCCTAGACGGCAATGCCAGGAACAGGGAGCTGGCCGCGAGGTTGTGTGTGCCGTGTGACTGGAGGCTCTCCCCTGGTCTGGAGGCCTCGGGGGCGGTCTGGTACCCTCCCCCTGCTCTGTGGGGTGCGCTCCGCACTCGGGAAGCCGGGTCACGGCTCTGTGGTCGGACAGGCGGGACGCTCAGTGGGTGTCTCTGGTTCAGCGGTGTCTGGAGGGGGCTCAGGAGGCCTTGTCCAGATGCGGAGTGCGCTTCTCTGGGGGAGGCCCCTGCTGTCTGACCGGCTCTCGGGGGATTCCCTCGCTGCTGGTTCTGACACCCCCTTGAGGAACCGGGCCCGAGGGCGGCCCCACGAGGTGGTTCTATGAACGCAGGTACCCGTAGCCACCCCTGCCTTTCCCTGGTGCCAGGAACCTTCTTCAGGATAAGCTGTGCGTGTTCTGATCCGTCCCCACCCTGAGCTCCCCAGTTAGGATCTGATGGCGAGAGCTGTTGGCTGAAGGTCTGTAGCTGCGGCCAAGGGCGAGGGCCCTGAACCGTGTGGGGCCTGGGCGGCGGCTCTCAAACCCACAGCTGCTGCCCGTGGCTGAGCTGCGTGGTGGGTCCCGGCACGTGGGCCTCGCCATGTGCGCTGGGGGCAGGGGGCCTGGCATTCGGAGGCACGGGGGGCGCCTCCCTGAGTGGCAGTGGGACCCACCTGAGGTCTTGGGAGTCCTGCCTGGTGCTCGGTGCTGGCTTTCCTTTTGTCGTGAGCCCGCGTGCCACTGAGACATTTCTGTCTCAGTGAACCCGAAGGAGACTTGCCGTCCCTGAGAAGTGCGTGTTCTCTGCTCAAGTTGGCAGAGGCAGACCCTGCTGTGGGATGAGCCATAGCTGGCTGGTGGTGCCAGCGTTGTTCCTGAGAGCCCGGGCCCCCGGGCCCCCTGCTGTCCTCATCTGTTCCCATTCTCCTGTTGCGGCTGGGCCCGGGAGCAGGGCTGGTCTGAGGCCCCAAGCACACGCACGCCCGCACCATCTGCCTGCAGCCCTCGGAAACGGCCCCGCAGGCGGGTGCCCCCCTCCGTGGGTTGGGGGGGGCGGGAGACTGTTTGGTTTGTGACCTCATCAAAGGGAGCAGCAGAACACAGGCGGTGGTGGGCAGGCCTGCTGGTCACAGTGACCGGGCCGGGGGTGTCCCATACCCTCTGGTCCTCTGCCCAGGAGTCAGGGCCTGTCCCTCTCATAGTCAACGCCTTGGAGTCGGGGGCTGGAACATGTGGCAGAGGCTCCCCGCGTGGCCTGCCACTCGCTGGACCAGCCCGGTGGCGACGTTGCCTGAGCCGGCCTCCAGAGCCCCGTTTGCGTTTCCCCCTTCTCAATGGACTTGCCCGGAAGCAGATAGAGCCTAATGTCCTTCCACAGCCCGTGCCCCGCAGCCCGGCCCTTCCCCCTATGCTCCGAGATGCACGTCCTGCTGACGCTGAAGGACCGCGGCTGCCTGGTGCTCTGCAGCTCGGTGATGGGCGTGCTGTCCTCCTGCGCTCACGCACCCTGTGCCCTGCCAGCCCCCACAGGTGCCAAGAGGGCCCTCGCTGCCAGCAGCAGCCAGCCTCCCAATGGCCCCGAGCCGGGCAGCCAGCCCCTGAAGGCGCGCACGTTGTCAGGCATGGCATCCAAGACCACCACCACCATCACCCCCAAGCGCGTCGCCCACAGCCCATCTTTACAGGTGAGCGCGCCGCTGCCCGCCCCGTGGGAGCCACCCCCTGCCCCCCGCCTGGTTCAGAGACACTGGGCGAGGGGCGCGGCGCAGGGGCCATGTGCCCCACCCCCACCTGGCCTCAGTCTCCCCCCTCATCCACACTGCCAGCGTGATCCGTTGGCACCACAAACCAGCGGCCACCCTCCTGGTCACCGGAGCCCAGAGTGTCCGGCAGGGTCCACTGCGTGCGCGACGCCCTGGGGATTCCGAGAAATGCATCAGAGGACCAGGCGGGGACACGCCACCTCCCGACAGATCTGTGTCTTCCCTAGAGTTTAAAGAAGCCCATTATCCCGAAAGAGTTTGGGGGCAAAGTCCCCACGGTCATCCGCCAACGGTATCTCAACCTGTTCATTGAAGAGTGCCTCAAGTTCTGCTCCTCGAACCAGGAAGCCATAGAGAAGGTACGTGAGCCTGGCAGGGGGCTGGGGCCGGGGCTGAGGGGTGGCTGCTGGGCCGCAAGCCTGGGAGCCCAGGCCTGAGCTGCGTGTCCGTGGTCAGGCGCTGAGCGAGGAGAAGGCGGCCTACGACCGCAGCCCCAGCAAGACCATCTACCTGAACGTGGCCGTGAATGCGCTGAAGAAGCTGCGGGGCCTGGGCCCCAGCTCCGCGCCCCGGCTCACCAGTAGGTCGGGCCGCGGTGTGCCAGGCGGCCGGGTGCTTGCGCCTGCAGCGCGGGGCCCGGGGCCGGGGTGTGGGACGCCGGGCGGCAGAACGGCTTTCTGCCGCCCGGAGCGTGGGGACACCTTCCTTCGAGAGACCGTGGGAGGGGCCGGTGGTGGGTGCCAGCTCTGGGCTGCGGGCTTCTGCGGAAGACGGCCGGGGCCGCGTGCCCGCACCACCGCCTCTCCTTTCTGTCGACAGCCCTCCCCAGCGAGCGGCTCTGGGCCGGGGGCCCCGCTGGTGGGGCGGCCTGTTCAGGGGCGAAGCCGGGCCTGCTGTGTGCTTTCAGCTCCGGGAGCCCCCCTGCCTCTCGAAGGCACATTAAGCCATCAGTGTGCTTGCTTCCCTGCTCTCCCTCTCCCACCTCTGCCTCCCACAGCTCCCCCTGCGCAGGGTCCACGGAGCCTCTGGAGGCCCGTAGGTCTCCCCTGTCCCCTAGGACTGCCACCAGCAGCTGGTCCCCAGAGTTAAGGTGGGGGCAGGATGGCCACCCCCAGGTCACGGGCAGTCAGGCCTTTCCTGACAGCCCCCCCCCCCCCCCCCCCCCCCCCCGGGGGGCCCCCCGGGCCCGGGGGGGGGGCGGGCCCCCCCCCCCCCCCCCCGGGGGGCCCGCGCCTTCCCCGCCCCCCCCCCCCCCCCCCCGGAGGACGGGGCGCACTCGGGAGTCCGAGCCCAGTTTGCCCTCCCCCCACCTCCAGAAACCATCGGCCGGAGGCTTGTGTCCCATGAGATGGTGCTGGGGGGCAAGTTGGCCACCAAGACCAGCTTCTCGCTCAGCCGCCCGAGCAGCCCCCGAGTGGAGGACCTGAAAGGTGAGCCCAGTCCCTCCCTTGGTCCAGCCAGGCCGTCCCCAGCGCTCAGTGGTGGCCATGGTGGCGGCACTTCTCCCCCACCCCCCACCAGGCCCACCCCTGCTCGCCTGCCTGGCCCTCCCCGGCCTTACTGTGGGCTGACCACCGGTCCCGGCTGTCCCCAGGGGCCGCCCTGTATGGCCGCCTCAAGGAGTATCTGCTCACCGAGGACCAGCTCAAAGAGAACGGCTACCCCTTCCCTCACCCCGAGCGGCCTGGGGGGGCTGTCATCTTCACGGCCGAGGAGAAGAAGCCCAAGGACTGTGAGTGGCCCCGAGCACCCGTGCCTGGGGCGGCGGGGGGCAGCTGGCGGAGCAGCCTCTGGGGAGAGGGGCGATCGGGGGCCTGACGCCTGCACCCAGCCCCCACCCCCCCGCCGCCTCGCAGCGTCCTGCCGGATCTGCTGCCGGTGCGGCACCGAGTACCTTGTGTCTGCGTCTGGCCGCTGTGTGCGCGAGGAGGAGTGCTACTACCACTGGGGGCGGCTCCGCCGGAACCGGGGTGAGCACCCCGGGAAGGAGACTGGAAATGCCCGGGCCCGTCGGGGGTCCCCATCGTGCGCAGGAGGCGCATGCTGGGCTGCCCGGGGGCCCGGCCCTGACCGCCACCTCTCTTCCAGTGGCCGGCGGCTGGGAGACCCAGTACACGTGCTGCTCAGCCGCCATTGGCTCCACTGGCTGTCAGGTTGCCAAGGTAGGACTTGCGGGCCCCGCTCGGTGCTTCCCCCGTGGGAGCGGCCTCGGCCCGGCTGGAAACGAGGGACAGCCCGCGCCGGAGCCCTGACCCCCCTTTCCTGTCCTTTGATCCGTGTGCCTCTGACGGCGGCCTTGGAAAGAGTGGGGCGTCCGCCGCCCTCAGTGGCCTTCCTCCCGCCGCCCGCAGCAACACGTGCAGGACGGCCGGAAGGAGAACCTCGAAGGCTTTGTCAAGACTTTCGATAAAGAACTTTCGGAAGACGCTCACCCCGGGATCTTCGCCCTCGACTGTGAAATGGTGAGTTGCGTGCTGCGTGCTCAGTGGCGGCCTGGCACCCGCGTCTGCAGCCTGGAGTCGGTGCGGGTCTCAGGACAGAGCAGGTGCGGGGAAGAGGGTGGCCCGCGGCGGGTGCCGCCTCCCTGGTGCTCGGGCTGGGAGAGCGGGCGTTTTCCACACCACCACGGAGCGGCTCTGGCCTCGGCCCTCGGCTCGCCCCAGGCGCGCGGAGCGGCGCCGCCATACCTCAGGCCTGGCGTGCAGCGGGTGCTGGGGCTTAGTGAGGGCACCCTGGGTTCTCGACAGCTCAGGCTCCCGGAGCAGCCCCGGGAGCTTCCCCAGGGTGTGGGGTGGGGCGGGCGCGTTGTCACACGAGCCCTCCCGGCCGCGCAGTCCTACACCACGTACGGCCTGGAGCTGACGCGCGTCACGGTAGTGGACACGGACATGCACGTGGTGTACGACACCTTTGTCAAGCCGGACAACGAGATCGTGGACTACAACACCAGGTGGGGCCCCGCCGCCCCGCTCCCCTCCCCGCCCCCGGCTTGGGAAGCCCGGAACCCTCCCTCACTACCCTCGGGCCCCAACTCTGCGCGCTGCAGGTTTTCAGGGGTGACCGAGGCTGACCTTGCCGACACGAGCATCTCGCTCCGGGACGTCCAGGCCGTCCTGCTGAGCATGTTCAGTGCCGACACCGTCCTCATCGGACACAGCCTGGAGAGCGACCTGCTGGCCCTGAAGGTACTGCTCGCCCCAGGCCACGCTCGCCAAGGGTCTGAGAGGATGGCTGGGGCTGTCCTGGGCCCCGGGCGCTCAGCACGGTGGGGGGTGGCGGCTGGGTGGTCCCGTGGGGCCCCTTCCTGCTCGGGCCCCCGTGGTGTGTGCCCGGCCGCCTGCCCACAGGTCATCCACAGCACTGTGGTGGACACATCCGTGCTCTTCCCGCACCGCCTGGGCCTCCCGTACAAGCGCTCCCTGCGGAACCTCATGGCCGACTACCTCAGACAGATCATCCAGGACAACGGTGAGCCGGCGGGCGGTGGGGTGGCGGGCCGAGCCGGGGGGGCGCCCCCCTGACACACCGCCCCCCCGCGCCCCACAGTGGACGGGCACAGCTCCAGCGAGGACGCCAGCGCCTGCATGCACCTGGTCATCTGGAAGACCCGAGAAGACGCCAAGACCAAGCGGTGACCGCTGCCACCCGCCCGCCTTCCCCGCGGCCCCGGCCCGGCCTCTGCCCCAGCCTCTTCCAAAACAGTGCAATAAATCTCGAGAGCTAACCCTGTCCACGTCGCCAAGACATGGAAACAGAGAGAGCGGGATGAGCTGGTGGCACGAGAGCCCCGCACGGAGACCACCTGGAGCCCTGTCCCCCACCCAGCCCCCTGCGCCGCCCCTGCCTTCTGTCCTCTGGAGACTGCTGCTGACTCCCGGAGGAGGCCGGACAGACGTTCCCCGCTCCCCCCGGCCCCCGGCCCGCTGCGTCCCTGGCAGCCAGGCCTCCTGGCTCTCCGGCCGGGCAGGCTTTTCGTGGGTGTGTTCAAGACAGGGGTTTTTTTTATTTTGTATTGTTATTTTTATTATTTGTAATTTAAACCTGGCGACTTGCACAGTTGTCTTTTCCCCACTCGGAGAAGCAAGACCCTGGTGCTGCCTTCCCTGTTGGGGGAGGGGGGAGAAGTTGGGGGGCCGGGGACCGAGAAGCTGGCACTTGGGCAGCCACCAGGACCAAGAGTCCAGCCTGGCCTGGGCCAGACGGGTGGGAACTGGACTCCGTGACCTCTGGGAACCAAGCCAGCCACCCCCCCCCCCGCCACTCCCCCCCAGGGCCTCACCTTCCGGACCCCTTCAGGGCGCCTCAGCCTCTGGACCCTGTCTTCCGGCCGGAGCCCCACCCTCCCCAGGGGCTGTCTGTAAAGGCCTGCAGCCTCCCCAGGGCCCTGAGTCCTTCCCCAACCCGAGGCAGGGACAGAATAAATGTTTATATGGATTTTAGCTCGTGTGGCGTCCGGTGGTGGTCTTGGTGCCAGGTGAGCCTGGTGGTCAGGACCCGCCGCTGACCGGGAAAGCAGGAGCACATCCTTGTCTGACTTCCTGAGGACCACCTCCAGTGCCTGAGCTGTCCCCGGGCCTGGGGATGCAGACGCAGATCCCTGGGTGTCCTGGCTCCCCGGGGGCACCGCCATGGGGGAGGAGGTGGTACCCCAGTCCTGTGAGTGGAGCCGCCTGGCTGGCCCGGGGGGGTGGGGCGGGGGTGAGGAGACCCAGGGAGCCACCGTGCCTCGCCCTCGCAGGGCTGAGAATCTGCGGGGGGTATGGAAGGGTGGCCGCCCACCCACCATGTGTGCCTGTTCACTGCTCCCAGGGCAGGCTTGTGCGCACAGCACCCAGCGATGAAATCAGGCTTTTGTGGATCATTGTGCCTCGTGGGGGTGGAAGGGCCGGGGCTGTTCAGGTCTCTACTTTTAGTTCATTTAAAATGCAAAATGAAGCCAGAAATGACCTGGCGGAGAGGGCAGGTGCTGGAGTGTCCTAGGTCTGGAGGCAGGAACACACAGGTGCTGGAGGGAGGACCTCCTGGAGGGGGCCCCCTGCCACTCGGTCAAGCTTCCGCCGAAGGCCAGGAGAGCAGGGTCCAAGGCTGAGGACATAGCTGTCTCTACCTCTGAGGCGCCCTGGGCCATCGCTGCCGAGGACTGGTTGCCCTCTGGATCCCGGGAGCCCTTGGGGGGAATGTTGGCCGAGTCGGGGCCCCAGCCGCTGTTGTGTCCCCCTGAGGTCCTTCTTGTGACCGTTTTGTTTTTTTTTTTACTTTCTCTTCCACAAACAGGTAGTTGTTTGCTAAACCAGGTGCAGGTTCCGTGTTTTTGTTTTTGTTTTGTTTGGAGGGGGGCAGAGAGAGAGCGAGAATCTCAAGTAGGCTCCGTGCCCAGCACCGGCTGGACGCAGGGCTTGGATCCCACCACCCTGAGGTCGAGCCCTTGGCTGAAAGCAAAAAGAGTCGGACCCTTCAGCAACTGGGCCCCCCAGGAGCAGCCCCCACCTCATTTCTGTGCTTCTGGTGGTACCTGCTTCCTCCCCAGAGCATAAAGAGCGCCCCCAGGGAGGCCGGGGGAAGGGGCTGCAAGGTCTCCGCTGCCCAAAGATGCTGACTCCTGGAGGCCACAGGGCCTTTGCAGATCCGAGGGAGGGAATGGGGCCTAGGACCAGCAAGGTCTCTCAGGAGACTGAACAATTTGTGCAGTGCCCCTCCCCCGCCACCACCCCGGGCTCTTTCCCATTTACTACTGGGTACGCGTTGGGTGTTTGTTGAGTGAATGAGTAAATGAGAGGTTTACCTGCCCTCCCCACCCCAGGCCAAGGAGGGTGTACAGACCAGGGTTTCAAAGAACAAGGAGTGGGAGGCAGGGGCTCTGATGGGGGAGGTCACATCCTGCGTGCTGTCTTCACCATGCCATGACTCATTCATTCATTCACCCAACATTTGCTCACAGGTGTTGCTATGAAGGGCCCCCCAGCCCCAGGTGGAGATGGCAGGCTGGGGCCTGGGATCAGGAGTGGGCCAGAGGGAGGGATCCCAGGACCTAGATAGAGGGAAGGGCGGTGAGGATGGGAAAGTGCCCAGTACCAGCTACCTTCCTACTTTCAACACTACAGGTGGTTTCTAAAAGTGAAAATAGGGATGCCTGGATGGCTGTTGGTTAAGCAGCTGCCTTCGGTTCAGGTCATGACCCCAGCGTCCTGGGATCGAGTCCCACATTGGGCTCCTTGCTCGGAAGGGAGCCTGCTTCTCCCTCTGACTCTGCCTGCCACTCTGTCGGCCTGTGCTTGCTCACTCGCTTGCTCTCTGACAAAAAAAAAAAAAAAAAAAAAAAAAAAAATTTCTGGAAAAAAAAAAAGAAAATAAGAAAGACCACACTCAACTCGGCTCTCCTGTCTGCCCGAGTTTGCCCCTCCCCTTGAGCCCCACGCAGGGGGCCCTAGCTTCAGCAGCCCCTCCCATCCTGGGTCAAGTCGTCCACCTCTGGGGCTTGGCGATGACCCCCCCCTCATGGCCGTCTCCCACCCCTGTCACCTTCAGGAAGGGCCCTGGGGTCCAGCTGCTCGCTGGGTAGGCATACCCTGGACCAGAACCTCATGGGCTTCCTCTACCGGCCTCCCCAGTCCTGCGCGCAGCACTGCACCTGTGCATAGAAGGGGCTCGCTAGACAGTACAGGATGAGTGGGTGCAAGCCCGGGCACACGGCTGGGACCTGTGATCACCTGCGCGTCTTTCCCGTGCTCCCAGCCCCACTCCGGCCCCATCCAACCTTGGCCAGGTCACCGGAGGCCCCGCTCCTAACTGCCAGCTCATTGGTACCCTGGCCCTGCTGTGCGAGGCCACGCCCACTGACCCTCCCCAGCCTGCCCCTACCTTGGCATCCCTCAACTTGCAAAGCCCCAGCCCTGGATCTGGGCCCGCCCTCCTCTGGCTCGCACTACTGCAGAGACCGCCCCAGGCTCCACCTCTGATTGGCGCCCCCTACCCTGGTCCTCTCGGTGAGGCTCCGCCTCGCCCCCTCTTGACTTCTGGCTTTGCTCCGCCCCGTAAATCCCCGCCCATGCTCCGCCCCAAACAGGCAGCTCTCGGCGAGACTCCACCCAGCCTCGCCCCGGCCCCGCCCCTTGGGCCGCAAAACTTCGCAAGTCCCCGCCCCCAGGACCACCCATGCTCCGCCCGGGTCCCGCCCAGCTTGAGAAGCCGCACCCTCCGCCCTCCCGGGGCCGCCCCGCCCCCGCCCCTTGGGGCCCGCCCATTTGCCAGGCCCCTGCCCCAGGGGGCTCTGGCCCCGCCCAACTCCACAAGGCCCTACCCCCAGGGCCATCCTGGCCTCGCCCGGATCCCGCCCAGCTTGACAAGGCCCCACCCCCAGGCCATCTAGGCCCCGCCCACCTCTAGAAGGCCCCACCCCCAGGGGCAGGGTGGCCCCGCCCAGCTCTGGAAGGCCCCGCCCCCAGGCCGCCCTGGGACCGCCCCTCGGTCGCGCCCGCGGCGCCCGTTTCAGGCCGGTTGGCACCGGGCTAACAGCTGCGCCGCGTCCACCGCCCTGGCCACCCGCGGACTGCCCGCCCCGGCCCGCGCAGGTGAGCGGCGGCGCCCCCGCTGCTGTGCGTCCCCGGGCGCCCGCGCACCCTCTCTGGACTCCGCCCAGCCTGGGGGTGTGAGGTCGCGGCGGCCGCGGCGGGGCGTCGCCGGAGGTTCGCGCGGGACGGAGTCCAGTGGGGGTGCCGCAGCGCCCGGGGTGCTGTGGACCCAGGTCTCCCGTCCAGGGAGTGTCGGCGCCTGGGCCACCGCCGCTGCGGGATGCTCGAGTCTTCTGGTGAGCCGAGGGTGGAAGGCAGGGGGCAGCCAGCCCTGGGGGCAGGGGGCGACTTCCTGCCCCCGCATGACCTTGGAGGGCATTCTGGCCACCTAGGCATTCCTGCGGCCCACCTGACCCCCGCTGGGTCTCCCCGCCTCTGGGTCCCGCTCGGCTAAGCCTTGCTCACCCTGGGCCTCACTGTTCCTCATCTGGTGAGGGCGCTGGCCTGGCTCAGTCTCCGGGGAGCCAGGGAGCTGGCTCAGAGCCAGGCCCTCCCCCGCGGGGCCTGGGGACGCTGTTGACTCAGACGCTGTCTCTGTCATGAACGTTTCTGAGTTCAGCAGGCGGCCCAGACAGGGAGAGAAGCAGAGGAGAGAGGGGGCATCAGCACTGGGATGGGGGACGCCCCAGGCAGAGGGGGAGCCCCAAGGAACCGTCTGAACAAGCGGGGTCGGTCTAAGAAGTATGAGCTGAGACCAGAAGGGTGAGGAGGCCCCAGCCAGGCTGCCCTGCTGAGCTACTCCTGGTGGAGTGGGGGGTGCCGAGTGCTGGGTGTGGGGGGGGTCACTCGGGGAGCTGCTGAGGGTACCCCGGTTAGACTCAAGTTCCTGGCATGGGAGGGCAAGAATCGAGCGTGAAGTGGGTGGCGGGAGCGTTCCAGGCTCCGTGAAAGGCATGGTGTGTGCCCCCGTCTCCCGCATCACTAGCTGTCCCAAGACCACGGTCAGACCCTCTGCGTAGCTCAGCCCTCATAGACACGCTTCCAGATCCAACATGGGACCCTGGGGCCACTGAGTCAGTCAGCAAACGGAGAAGCGCCTAAGTGGGCTGGGCATGTGGGGAGCTAGGGTTGGGGCGGGAGGGGGTGGCAGGACGGCCTGGGAGGGGTGGGTGTGGGCACGCCAGGACGGGCGGTGGGGTCCTCCTAAGGGCCGGGCTCTAATGCCTGCTCCGGGGTTGCTGGATGTGAGGCTGTTGCAGGTGTGGGGGTCAGCCTGGGGCCCACTGGACCTGAGGAAACCCGGAGTAGGACGCAGCCAGTGGCTGGGACTTCAGGGCCCTGTGGTGGGACAGCTGGTGCTCATGGGAAGTGGCAGTTTAGAGGGTCCAGTCTCAGCCCTTGAGTTCTGGGAGGGCAGAGAATGGGACAGTGGTCCAGCTGGTCCAGCAAGGGCTGGGCCCCTGGCGTGACCTTGGTCTCTCTCCCCACAGCCCCACCAGCATGGGCAGTCTCGCCTACCGAGAGGACTTGGAGGAGGAGAACTCAGGTGCGTGTCCTGGGTCTGGGGGAGGGGGAGGGGCTCCATGAAGCTTAGTGGCCGAGGTGGGGGACTGAGGAGGCCCCCCACACCCACACAACAGACCCAGCGTGGGGCTCTCCTTGGGTTACAGATGGTCCCACACCTGACGACTGAAACCTAGCGCCTACAGCCTGTCACCTGGGAGCCCCTCACTGGGCCTCCGTTTACCCCTTCTGCAGAAGAAGTGGGTGTGAAGGGGTCTCCCAGAGCCTGTTCTCTAGGGATTGGCCCAGGGTGTGGGGCCGGGGCCCACTCCTCGGATCCGGGGGGCGTCTGGCAAGCTTCCTGGAGGAGGGAGCAAGTCGGGGCTGCAGGGGCCATCCTGCTGTTTACCGGCTCCCTGGCCGCGCTG